AAAAAAAAAAAAAAAAAACCAAACACGCACAATCACCTATCAACTACCAAGAAATTTTCGACTTGCTATGTGGCGATATTAACATTTTGAATCTTGCCCCAATGAATGGAGATTAAAATTCCATCCCAAGGCTCCTCATCAACAGTCCCACAATCAACCTACTATAGACTCAAATTCCTACCTCTTGAATCAGAAAAGTACAATAATTCATATCCTTCCACATAATCAAATCATGCGAGTTTTAATTTCATCAACAGAACACAATTACAACACATGGCCTTCAGAATTTCTTTCCTCGACTATGATAACCGTGCAAGCACTCCTACAGAGGATCATACTCCACTCATATTCTCCAATTTGTTCAAGGGTTCGAAATTGAAGAGGCAAAAAAAAAAAAAAAAGTTGAACTTGAACCAAAACGAAATAAATTCTTTCACTGAATAAATAATATAGAATCCGTTTGCCCTTTACCTTCCAACAACCGAAGCTAGGGTTTTGACATAGGCATCAATCATCTCTTCTTCAGTGGGCTTAGGGTCAGAATTGAATTCCATCACAATGAGCCAATGCTCGTAATCACATCCATCGAGGAGAATCGTATCTTTCGGCGGTCGGTTGCTCCAGTTTGGAGATGGGTCGTTCAGCGGGGAATAGCCCGGGCCGGATGTCCTCAGTCGAGTTTGAACCGTGAACCGGTCCACAAGAGGTCGCTGCCCGCCTTGGTTCTGACTGTGAATTAGCATGGGAACAGCGAGACGCGACCGCCGGGATAGGAGGGAGGCTAACGTGCGCCGGGTGGCAAAGAGCGACGCCGCCATGGCCGATCAGTAGAAAGATGTGTAGTGTGTGGAAACTGGTCACTAGATTTCCCGTATTCTTATTTAGTTCTTTTTGTTCTTTGAAATTTATATATAGGGTTATTATTACCATTTTCCTTATTATCATTTTCAGTGCCTCAAGTTAGGTAATATTACCAATTCAGTCCCTCACTTTTATGTATTATTACTTTCAGTACCTGATGTTTGATCAAACTACCTGTTTCCATCTCAACCGTCAACGTGCCGTTGAAAACTAACAGGGGACCTTCAATTAAATGCATCCAAGGAAAAAAAAAAAATAGTGAAAATAGCTATTTTCACCCCGTATTGAAGTCTTGTTAAGTTTTTCACACCGTCCAATAAAAAGCTAAGTTTTTCACCCTAAAAAGTGCGAAAGGCATTGTGCTATGAATATGCGACAATTGCGCAATGATATTGCGCGAAAGTTAAAAGTGTGAAGGCATTCGCATATCTCTTCGCACTTTCTCGGGTGAAAAAAATTAAAGTGCCAAAGTATTGTGCTATGAATATGCGACAGTTATGCGACAGTTTTTCGCATAACCTACGCATGTGCGACAATTATGCGATGAATATGCGACAATTTTCGCATAACATTCGCACTTTCCGGTGTGAAAAACTTAGCTTTTTATTGGGTGGTGTGAAAAATTTAATGTGTCTTTGTATTGGGGTGAAAAAAGATTTTTTCCCAAAAAAATATGCATGGGCAACAAATACTTGAGCACCAAACTGTTATAAAATTAGAGACAAAGAGAAATAGAAAAAAAGTGTATTTTTGTAGTTGCATTTTCATTATATCTGAAACTATTATTTATAGAAAAACTTCTGATACCACAATCATAATAATACAATTACATTGACGACAAAATAGTCATTCACATATATTATTTTATATATAAATATTAAATGATGATGGTGATGGTTGTAATCACAAACCACATTTTTTAATAACACCCACCATTGAATGATTTCTTTTTTATATATATATACTAGAAAGTATGCGGCTGTGTTTAACACAGTCGGCCCAGAAATACCTAAAAATTTTTAGCGATGAAGTATTGATCTTGATTGAAAATCTTATGAGACTTCACAAAAACGTGGAGACTACATTTCATATGTGCTAATATTAGTCTGAGTTAACTATGGCTTTGTTTGATAAACAACGGTTAGCTGTTAGCGGATTGCATTAACTATTTGACCAATGGATAATATTAGCTATTTTGATCAGCTGATTGTATTAGCGTTTGTAAAAAAAAGTTTGGTAAAATAGATTTTTCATTAGTTGTTAACATGTAGAATTACTTTTAAGGACATCAACATAATTTATCATTCTTATTTATGTTCTAACTTATGAGTAAAGCATATTGACTAAGAGCGACAACCAACCATTAAAACTCTGTTCGCTAATTATTTTTGCTATCCGGAAGTGTACGGCGTAGCTATAGGTAGTGGGGAGCAAGGTCGTATTCCACAGAGATTGTAGTTAAATTAATTAAGTACTAAAATAATGATGATTAAATATTATTTAGACTAACGAATGAGATGATGATTCTAAACTATGAAATTAAACTAAAAACTAAATTACCTAACGAAATAAAAATAAATCAAGATATAAAAGATAGATTCTAGGTTCTGCTTTCCTCGGAATTAATTAATGAAACGTTCATATTCATACAAACCTTATTTAATTTTACCAATCGTAGAGATAATCGCTAAATTGATTTCAACCTTTCTCTCGAACAAGCAAATCGTAGATATTAATTGTTATCTATCTCCTCTCGGTCTCAAGATGAACAACTAACTCCCATAAGTTCCTAGGATTTTCGTTCTCTCGTAAGATTTCATCAACCTCTCGGTCTGTTTAGTTTCCTACGTTATGAATTTCCCAATTCTAGCAATCAATTATCTCCTCTCGGTCTCAAATCGATCACAAATATGCATTCATAGTGGCCATCTACTCACACAATAAATATAGGCAAAAGAAATTCATAAACGAAAGATAAACCAGAATGAAATAAATAAAAACTAAATCATAAATCAATCTAAGTACTAACAAATCCTAGAATCTAAGATAAATTATCCTAGAAACATGCTTTCAGAATAAATATAAAACAGAGTTCGAAAGAAGAAAAGAAAAATAAAGAAAAAACTTATTCGGCTCCGTCGATCCTTTCTTCCTGGCTTTCTCCCTCGTCTTGCTCGTGTTTCTAGCCTCCCAAGCTCTCCAAAGATCTGAAAATTAGGTTCTAGACTCATCTAAAACGTGTCCAAGTGTTATTTTTATAGTTGAGGTCAAGTCCTAGTCGAAATAGGTCGAAAATCCCTAAAAATAGGAGAAAACGCGTAAAATGCGTATAAGTCGCGTCCAGGGTCACACGACTCGTGTGCTAGTCACACGGGTCGTGTGAGAAAGCCGAGAGCTCTTTACGTATCCGTTTCGCGCGACACGACTCGTGTCCAACATCACACGACCCGTGTGTACCTGGGCGCATGAAAACAACTCTTTGTCAACGGCATTAAGCTCCTGGTCGATTTTCCGGCATCTCACGTGTTCAAAAGACGTCCAGCGGCTGCCCAGGTTGTTCGCATGGCGGATTCCGATCATTTTTCAGACGACTCTCTCCGGCGTGTGCGTCCTTTCTGCTTCTCCGGCGGTTTCTCGATTTTCAGACGGCTTATACGGTGTAATGATGGTGGCGAAGGTCGGTGAGGCTCTTCGTGCGATGTTCGGCGTACGGAAATCAGCGTGGACGGAGCTCTTTTCATGGCAGACGTGGTGGCGTTACGTACGTGAGGAAGGAGATGAAGATGATTACTTTGGTCATGGAAATGACTAACCTTGCCCTTATTTAAATAGCTATTGGGCTAGACTTTAATGGACTACCAAAATTCCTATGGCCTTTGTTAGGCTCTTTTCTTTTCGGCCCAGCAGAGAAACTTTTATATCATTCTTGTGGGTTGTGTAGTATGGGCTTGTCCTAATGCATTGCGGCACAGCGTCTTTGACCGTATTTCCCCGTTTTCAACTCCAAAAATTAATTCGACTATTTTTCCTGTCAAAACTAAAATAAAACATTTCATCATAGCTTAATAAATATAATTAAATAATTAATTAAATAAATAATAATTAATTAAATATAATAAATTATATATCAAACTACGACGAAACGGACACAAAAAATCACTATAAAATGCACGTAAAAATGACGCATGTCAAATCCCCCAAACTTAACCACTGTTCGTCCCCGAACAACAAATAAGCAAAAATAAACCTCGTCCATGAAAAGTGATTTCAAACAAGAAAAGCCTCAAGCCACTTAAATAATCAAGATAAATTCAAGTAATCTGAAATACATATGTCCCAACTCTTAACTTGATAAATCTTTGAATTAATGAACTCTCAAATAAGGTCATATATATATGTGCCTCACTCAAATATCTTGTGAAATATCATTAAAGAAATAGAAGGGTACGCTCAAGTTAGTTCGAAACACAAAGTCAACCATAAGCTTGCAAATCGTCTACACTTTACTAAATACAATTAATGTACGTGAGCTATGAATCAAAAGGTCTTTTGGATTGTAATGTAGGCTATTTGGACAAGGTAGGAAAATATAGGCCAAGTGACTAAAAAAAATCGAACAAGACATCGATGAAAAATCACCACCCCCTATCTCCAATTATCTCCCAAGAAAACATACATACACAACTCTATAAAGCACAATACCATATATGCAAATCTCGACAATTGATCAATTTTTTTCTCAACTTTTTTTT